CTGTATGTGGGATCCGAACCCTCGGCAGGAGCGCCACCGCGCTTCCCAAGCGGCGCACTATTGCAGTGCGCCACCGGGCCAGCCCCTAAAACCTCCCTTTTAAAACAGAGGCCCCTCTCTTGGTCTGTGTGTGTGCATACATTTAGAGAAACCAGCCACTTCTGTGGTTGCAAGGGGAATTACTGAGTCCTTCCTTAAGTTAGCTTGCCTGAAATGGGTACAGTGCCTGCCCAGAGCACTTGTCCTCAACGGTAGGTGTTTGTTCTCATCATCTGAGGAGCTTGGTAGTGATGCTGAGGCCTGGCCTTCACCTCGCAGGCTGATTCTACAAAGTAGAGGGGAGCCTGGTAAAGGCATTTTAGTCTGTCACTTTGCGTAATAACTGCATAGGCAGCCTGATTGAAATGCAGATTCATGGCCACAGCCCCAGAGATTCTGATTTTCAGGGTCTGAGGAGGGCCAGGAATCTCCATGTTGAACAGGACCTCTGGGTATTCTGAGGAGCATTGCTCTGGCTTCTCTTAAAGCACTTTGAAATCTTTTGACATCAGGTACTTGGCTTTGATTCTGGGTTCCTCAGTCACAAAAAAACAGAAGAAAGCTCCCTGCCCCACCTTCGCTGGTAGGGAGAGAAGAAGGCAACTGGCAGGGCACCTCTTTCATTTGTGCTTAGCTCTCCACTTGGCTCACCTGGGCACTTTCTCTGGGCATGCTGGAGCCTGAGAGTAATTTACCACGGGAGAATCTGCAGTTCAGCTGCTGGTTGTTAGGCTGTGCATGTGTGACAGTGGGTTTCGCAGAATAGGATGAGGTTTGGATGTGCTCTCCTGTCCAGCTCTGGCCCTCATGAATGAGCCCAACCCGCAGCCAGTGGTGATTCTGCCTGCCCCTCCCTGCCCAGATGCCCCATGGCTCCTGGTGGGTCGCTTGGTGCACCTCTGGCTGTTGGGCCCGAGCTGGAGGGTGGAAAAGGCATGTCGTGAGCGTCTCATCCTGCAGGAGGCTGCCTCTGCCCAGTGACCCTCCAACTGGACTGACTCTGGCTCCCTGTGTGCCCAAGGCTGTGTCTGGGTAGAAGCAACAGTCCAGGCCTAGAGCTGTACTGTAAGGATTCTCCGAGGAGCCTGTCCTAATGGTGATTTGCTTCTGTGCAAGTGAGTCTGTATCAGCTGGAGGAACC